CCAAATACTCTGCGCCTGCGCCGTGACCGTAACTCGTAAGCTGAGATGGGGGTCCTAGCGTGAACATAGTGCTAAAGTAAGCGCAGTCATTTCGGTCTCAAAAGGAAAAAGCCATGCGCCCAAATTTGCCTGGAAATCTGGACCTATAGGGCTTGACCGGAAGCTGTTAGCGTAAATTTACAGTGAGGAGGACCCCGCCCACCTGCTCACTTCTCTCCTGGGTTAAAGCTCTTTTTCGCCGATTTCGCGCTCTCCAGTGTGCATTTTCGGATTCAGCATAGCGAATAGGCCCGGATAAGCACAAAATCTCAAAATCGAATTTTTACCCAGACACTGCCTTTAAGGTATACTCCCTGCGAGCAGCGATTGGAATCGCATGAGGTACGCGTTAGGCCTAGGGGGATGGAATTTATGGTGGGTGGGGTCTTCCCGCTGTGAATTCAGGCTCTGGCTTCCACAGCGATCTTCTCGGTTCCGATTTCGAGTCAAGCGTTCGCACTTGGTGGAGATGTCAGGTCGGCTAGCGAAATCGAAAGAACCGCTCCGGAAGCTGGGAGCGTGAATTCACAGCGGGGAGAACCCTCCTGCTGATTTCCATCCTGTGTTAGAGCACTTCGTCGCCGTTTTCGCGCTTCTTCCACAAATTCAATCCAATTTTAAATCCTACAAACTAGCTTTTAAACCGCCTAACCTCTTCCTCTTCGCTTAGTTACATCCCCGAGTTTTTATGATGGCAGCAATGCTGTTCTCCAAGTGCGCAATGGTGCGCACTCGACAAAGCATGCCGCCAAAGTGAACTATACGAACATCTTTGTTTCGTTTCAAGGTTATTGTATTCTTTGTTCTATTCTTTTTTATGAGGGATTCGTTTTTTTAAACGCTGGACTCATCTCTTACTGAGGATTCTGGAATGGATTCTTGGAATAGCAGGTCCATTTTTTTTGGAAACAACATTGAAGAACCGAGCCAACGCACTTGGTTTAGTCTATGGTGCGTCCTTTTGGGTGGATGTTGCGTTATCAAGGTAGAGCTTGCCAGTATTTTGTCAGATTTACGCAAAACAGCCGTGGAAACCTTTACGGGTTCCCCTATTTGCTTCCCCCTCAAAAAACGACATTCAGTGTATAAAAGCGCCACCTCTGCTGAACTCTGCTCGAGTACTTCTCTTATATGGATAGACTGAGACGGCATGCACAAGTTCAATAAGCTTACTTGTTCCACGGGTTTAAATCTATACATTCATAAAACTAGGTGTTGGTAAATGTTGTTAGTGTGTTCTTTATAGAAACTTTTGTGTGTGAATCGATCACCGCCAAACTTTGCACACATATGTTTTCGACATCGTCCACCTCGTAGGCGACTTTTCGCAGCGAAATATCCACTTCTTCTATTGATTTATCGATCTCAAAGAAAAATGAACTCTTATTATTCACTAGCTGCGGTCCCCGGTCCCGCCCGGGCCAAGGGTTTAAAATCGCCCGTCTGCTTCAAGATGTTTGCTTACCATTCCTCCACTTCCTTCAGGCCATTCTTTTCCTCTCCTGCTTCAGCTCCAAGTCAGTTCCAGCACACGTGTAGTATCGTGGTGAATTTGTCCTTCTTGACCGGCTCGCTTCGTGACACCGCATCCTCCTCACCGCAAAATGTAAATGATCTCTACTGCCCCTTACTACTTAACTTGGAGAAATGAATCACATAGATAAAAATCGATGGAAAGACCCAGTGAATCGTCGCTAAAAGTAGCCTATCTTCTGCGCCTGGCCTCATATATAGGGGAGCACATTTCAGCCTCATCGGTTCACGAACAAAGGAGTCTATAAGCCACATACTTACATACGAACAAATTTACAGAGACTGAGTTTTATTTATATATAGATTATTAAACCGCTTCAAATTTTTGTGCAAACAATAGCGGTAGAACTCATTTTCATTCCACGATGAAGGAGATGCTGTAATTCAAGGCGATGCGTAGGAAGTATCTGCCCTGTGCTACATAAATAAAAGAATGCCGAAACGCAGGTAAATTTAGCCTTCAAAGTTGCGCACCAGCTTGCTCTTTGTTTGCTAGTTAAACCCGGGCAAATACAGGAGAAACCGGGTGTCGCGGATTGGGCCCCCAGCTCCCAACGTCAGTGGTAACGTGCCCTCCTGCATCGGCGAGGGGAGCCAGAAGTCCCTTCCGTGAAAGGGTGAAACGACTATTGTGGTGGCATACCTGTGTGAACGCTACTAGTGCCTGCCACATGGGAACTCTATACACACGTAGGGGCCCTTGCCACCAGCCTGCTTAGTAAGTTACTCGACACCTGCGACTCAATCTTTTCTCCCAACTATCGACAGTTGGGGCGTGTACTTACAATCAAGGCACTACCCGGGGTCGTGCCAGCCTTCCTGCAGATGTTTCCACTAGGCTAACACAACATTGATGACACAAATATCCCCGGAGCCACAGCCGAGCTGTGGCCCACCGCATCAAACAATCACACGAGTAAAATGCCCACCATTTATCCACAACTATTCCCTAAACTCAAACACAATGGGGTGGAGCACAACCAGCCAAGATCTTACCCCTAGGGGCCAGCAGTATCGAAAACCCCCCGAGGCGGTGTCGCCGGCATGTGCCAGGTGCGATCGCGCTCGGGGTTACCTCGTTAGCGCGGGGTGCCAGTCCTCCGTGGCGTAGATGGATGTGACGCGTGAGATGGGATTGGCGCTGTATCGATCGATGGCATTGAGATGAAGATGGAACCCGACCGCTCACGATGGCGACAGCAGCGTGGACTGACTACGTGACTTAAACGAAAGCTGCGCAGGTGAGAGAGGTGAGAGGCGGGACAGCGCGAGGACGGCGTTTCAGGACCCCTTCGCAGCGCGGGGGCGGCCTCCTTTGAAGGAAGTCGCGAATCCGCGACACAGGGCAAGTCAACTAGTAGTGAATTAGAAAGAAGTGGTGCACAAGTGTTAACTTGTCAATTACACGCATGCAAAATGTTCTCGGATCTCGTAGTCTCACATTGAGAATTGTTGTTACAGGTCCATTATATGCTACAGCTACTTGATTTCTGTGTTTTTTGGAGAAGTAGGGATTTAGTATGGTGCTTCTGAGCTGTAGAGCCACAGCCAAACGTCGATGGTTTTTTCGCATAGCGACTATTTTGGCTTTTACTTTATCTGCCCTGTCACTCTGTTGCTTCATAGTAGTAGAAATGTACACCTACATATCCCTTAGCAGGTATGTTTTGAAAAGTTGCCTTCATAAACGAGGGTATTCGTTACAGAATTAACGTCATTGAATTACTGGATAAACATTTACCTATGATAAATCGCAAAGCGCTAGCAGTCAGCGTTATGGGATGCATTGTATTATGTATACAAACAATGAGTTTGAATGTAATAAGAGGACAAGAAGTAGTGCGATTGCGGGCTTCTTTGAGGACATCCACGGTAAGTTTCAATTCTCAAAAAGCGGCGCTTCTGGCATACAGTATGCCACCGTAACCCTAGGCAGCGCGACGCGGCGCAAGCTTGCGAACTTACTGCGGAATGAAGCTTAACTTGCAAACTTCCTTAAATTACCTTCCTCCTGCAACCTAGAGCACCTGTCCTCACACCCGCTTGATGTTACGGTAGCTTACTGTAGGGGAGCAAAAGAGACCTTATAAGTTATTTTAAGGAGAAAATTCTCATGATGTCATTAGCAGTTGTTATTCTGCTATTTGCTGGGATTTTATGCATAGTTTATTTCAATGGCATAAAACCCGCCATAACAAAAGCTCTATTAAAGGTGCGTAATTTCCAATAAGTTCTATAGTTATCATAAGCTGCTTATAGACTGTAGCAGATTACGACGATGATCCAGCATCTCGTTCGTTTATTGACAGAATCCAGGTTTGTTTTCGTGGGTAGGTGTCAATTTATCCAATCCCGAACTTTGATCGGGCGCCCGATCAGGCGATAGGTGCTCGCTTATAAGTAGCGTACGCCCTGATCAGGAGAATTAGCGTTTAATCAGAGATCTTGAGAGTGATAAATATCTCTTCAATTTACTTGAGGGATTATATTTTTAAAAAAGTCATAAAGTGCCGATCAATATATTGATTTCTCGTTTTCGCAAAAGCCCAAGCTGTCAGTTCTTATGTGAGTTAAGCAGGCTTTTGTTTGTTTTTACACGTAATTTACATCGTTGGTTTGGTCCTTTGTTGATTAAAAAAATCAATATATTGATCTTTTATTCGAAACGAGTGAAAAGAGCAATTGAAGATACTCCTACTTCATTCCAAAGACGAATTTGTAGTTTCTTCTCGTAAAAAGTTTCTTCTGATATCCTACGTTTTGCCGATTTCAGCCTATAGGCCAAAAAAAATTTTTTATAACCGAAATGCAACCAATTTTGTTTTTGTTCAGATTGCCTACAACTGCTGTGGAATCAACAGCTCAGCTGACTACCAAGATTTATCCAGTGTGAACCTCCACGGAATCAAAAAGTTCCTGCATTCGCAACATTTGATTATTGATCGATCAGTGTCCTTTTAGCACGTTGCCACGAGACAAAACATTGAATGGTTGCCCTCATGAAGACCTAGCATGTCTTTATCCACTTTCATGCTGTTTTTCTGTGGAATGTACGGAATATCGATTAGCTGAGCTTAACGTAGAAGGTGATCGATTTCATGAACGATGGTACAAAAACAGAGGTCAGCTGGTTTCACCCTTTGTCATACATGCATAAAAAATTCTCTATCTATTCCATGCAGGATGTGTACACGCACTGTTCTCTGCCCATTTTGGTCTGCTCGAACCAGTTTATTCTGTGGCTTTGATATTCTTTTCACTTGGCATGCAAATGTTAGGACTGCTCTTTGCTCAGGTATACCGTAGTCAATCGATAATCGATCGCAACCAATTACTAACAGCTGACGTTGACTGGTTACCTGACATTATCCGAAAGTGGACTTTCTGATGCGGATGAGTCGGTAGCATGGTTGTTGCCGTTCTCATATCCAGGGCCAGAAGATATCGTGCAGGTACAGAACTTGACAAGTGTTTTTCGGATTAATATTTTTAATTTTCGCCTGATAGTATAGTGTGCGTCAAATTTGCAGCAATGCTGCAGAAAAAATTGCTTATGATTTTGATCGCAGATTCAAGCCACAAAATAGCGCAATAATTTGTACAAAATTTAGTTTTATGGGCCCAAGTTGATCCCTATACGTATTATTTGCAAAAACAAAATTGTCAAAACTTCTGAAGAGTGATTAAAAAACCGAGTTATCCAAAGTTTACGTTTTCTTACTTGAATGAAAATAGTGGACAATCTTGAATTGTTTTAAAGCTCCAATGTAAGCTAGGCTTTGGGTTACCACAACTAGTTTTGTTATTCGGAAGCATTTTCCTAGAAAATGGGAGAAAAATCTGTGGATGTCACCTGCGTGCCAGAGCTTCTTTTTTTTTGATATTATATTCACAACCTTAAAAGCTATAGAAACGTGAAACTTATTGGCTATTCACTTTCTAAAAAGCTTTTAGATAAACTCTAGTTTCAACTGATTGACGAAATCAACTTGAAACCTAATCTAAAATCACTTTTTGTCCTTCTCGCTTTGTACCCCTGCATTCGTTTTTTTTTCAGTTCTTTCAAATCCAAAATTCTTATGAGATTCTAGCATCTCACTGAATGGGCAGCACAAATTTACATAAACAAGGATGAAATCACACAGAAAGAAGCAAAGTCCGATAATCCAGAGCCGAGAGCAGCAGGGACGGGAGGACGCTCTAGAAGGCGTGGATATTGAGGTTAACGAAACATTCACCAGTTAAAATTTTTTTGGGTTATTGAGCAGCTTACCTTTTAATTCAACGGGCTTGGCGGCTGGAAGGCGGGGCTTCGGGACCTAATTAAAGCTGGATAATGATCGGAGAGCGCGCGAGAGACGCAGACTACGTGGCGAGCGCGAGCGGCCTTAACTAATGTAGGTCAAGAAACGCCTTCCAGTCGCCAAGCCAGTTAAATCAAAGGTTACACTGCTTATACTGCAATTTCAGAACCGGGAATTATTGAGGTCAAAAACAAGAACACTGATAAAACCATCGATTTCCCACAAAAAAAACTTTTTGTTGTTGTTTTGTTTGAAATCAAACGTTCAAATGATAAATGTTTATGACTGCGCTGCAAAACAGTGCTGAAACAGCTCATACTCATGGACTGAGCAAAAACAAAACAATTCGCCTAAACTAGATCCATATGGAATGTCTACGTTATCGGCTATACAGAAAGCAAAATTCAAAAGATAAGCGACCCGCAAAAAAGCACTTTCTAGTGCTCTGCGGCCTCCTCTTCTTTCTTGAACTTTTGGTACTGATCCTCGTCTAGTAGATCGTCCAATTCCTTTGGTTTGCTCAATTTTAGTTTGTACATCCAACCTGGAGTCATAAATTTCACTAGTGTTAAGTAATTCCATAGAAGGTGACACCAACCATCTCCAAATGGACTTTTGTTAATTTTTCCAGATTCCTGCTCCAATGCTATATTCTTTTCCGTAACTTTACCCGAAACTGGGGCATACACATCCGAAGCTGCCTAAAGTATCTTGTTCATAAATAAAATTTGTAGAAATGACAAAATATGGAAAAAGCCTCACTTTTACGCTTTCCACAGCTCCGGTAGTGTCACCTTGGGAAATTTCCGTTCCTACTTCAGGAAGTTCGACGAAAACTATGTCACCAAGTTGTTCCTGGAGAAATCATAACTTATAATAACGGGCTAAGGTTGTTTACGTGTTTTTGTGTGTGTGTGTGTATGTCTGTGTGTCTGTCTGTAACGAAATTCGTAGAGCGAGTTCCAGCCAACGTCATGAGCCCAAATTTTGCACACTGCATGCGACCACCATAAGAGCCTACCATGCAAAAGCACAAGTGGTTTTGTTGGGTGGATCCCTCAGAAATTGTGCGTTAAGCGGAACCACTTGGGTTCTGGCCAGCAAAATTGGTTCCGTATCACCACTTTTTGCAAAGTCGGGGATGTGTTTGGCATGCTGATGTGCAAGCCATGGACTTTAGTCCAAAAAAGTGGACAAAAGTTTACTACTTTACGAGAACGACGCCAAAAAGAAATGATTGCGTAAATGGTTAATTTGCCATGGTTTTACCTAAGCATATGAGAAGAATTTTGCACAGAGATGTAGCTCACGTTGCCTACTGTCCTTATGGCAGCTACCAAGCCAGAAAGAGTCCAAAAACCTATTCAAATTTGCATTTGTTCTTCTGCGAAAAGTTTCATCCACGCGAAATCACCGACTTCACATGAAAAAGCATTTGGAATGGGTAGTTGTTTACATTTTACTCGCGATAATCGGCACTGCGCGGTGAGTTTCATTGCCAGCATTAGTCAAGAGTGAACAAGGCATATGAAGTAGGACCAGTGCGAGCCTCTGCGAAGCAGAGGTGGCGCACTGGTTATACAAATAACACCAGACTTGACACGACATCCCCCCTCCCCCTAAAAAAGTGCTGAGTGCCTGTATCAATAATTACTTCAGGTATGCGATAGAAATTTTTCCAAATGAAGAAATGTGGGTTCAACGCCCCAAAGAAACTTTGAACCTTTCTAAGTTTTCATAAAAACTAGAGATATAGTGCATAAGGTATACACAGATACATATGACAAAAGTACGCAATACTGTCAACTTAGCATGGGCACTGCGTGCGAGGAAGATTTATTGCACAGTGAACATCATAGCGTCACCTGCGATAGATACGGGGCACGGTCACCTGCGCACAACTACTACGACTTCGCGTGTGGCCGTGATGAACGTGGTTGGTCCGTGTTTCCGACAAGAGAATGATGTGGCCACAACCATCTGAGCCAATTCATGATCTTCAGAGTTCTTCTTTTTTTTCTTGACGGTAAGTGGGAGATCTCGTCAGGGTCAAAAATAGTGTTATTACACAATTTTATCAAAATCCGCGCTTTCTCGTAGAGTAAGCTGCCGACTAATTGTTGTAGTGTGCAAAACGGTGCGTTCCAACTCGCCAATCATTCGAATTGGATGAATTGATGATTTTTGTTTTTTTTTCGTCATTTTTATAACCTTGAAAAGGCGGATTTTGAGCACTTTGAGGACTTCATTCAAACAACATGGTCATTACAATCACAAACTAAGCGTCTCCCACTTATTTTTATTACTCTTCAAGGCACGCAAGCAACTCGTGATGTTGACCGCCTCATGATCAATTACGATGGCGTCTATTTGTAAAATTAATCGATAAGAGCATCATATTCTTGACTCTGCGACTTATACCGGATCTTTGGGAAGAGACTATGTAAAGAATCTTGTAAAAAAGTTCTTTACGTTCAAAAAAAATCCTGTACGATTTTGCCGGCATCATAAACTATAAGGCATTTCATCTTAACACGTTTCGGACCGGTGCTGCACATGGTGCAGCACGCTGCTTTGAGGGATCTTTCTGACGTTTACAGGAGGTTTTCTTTTAGTCCAAGGTTATCAAGTCAAAAGCCTAAGCTTCTACTTTTCAACTGACTCTGTAGAATTGTGCCACTGGTATTTGTTTAGGAAACATGAGGAAATCGAAAGTTGCAACAAAGTGCGGCAACGCGAACGACGCGTGCGACGTCGCAACTGATCCTTGCTTCAATATGGAAGGGAAAAATCCTAGTTTCAATACTGATGTGTACCGTCCACAACATAGATACTTTTGGATACTATGAGAAACTGAGTTCTTGTTCCTATCTTTCAGGAAAGCACGGAAGTCCTTCCCAAGTGGCAAAATTCAAACACTTCGAATTCACTCAGAACTTTGGGTATGGAGCTTATCCGAGATGATCATTATAGATGTAGCACACAGTCTTCGAAATAAGGTAGGTGCCAGAGTAAGCGAATATTTTGTTCAGGTTGGGGTCCCGTGCAGAATTGACGTCACTTGGATTGAAGCCAGCATGATGAGTGACGTTCATTCTGCGCGGGACCCCAACCTGAACAAAATATTCGCTTACTCTGGCACCTACCTAAGGTCCCTTTGTTGGCTAACGGTTGAAAGAACACTCTTTTTCGCCGCGCGCGATTTCGCGGTCCGAAACGTGTTAAACTGAGACCATACCTTAATTATATTGTAGAGCAATGTTCCAAGAGATTCCAAAGTTTACAACAATTATTTTTATTCGTTTCTGACAGACTGGCACAACAAAAGACATGCACGTATATAACATGACAGTAACTGAGATATCGAAGCAAAGATAAGAGCTTTGTTGCTAAGAAAAAAAATCGATTAGTGAACGGCTGGAATTCCTCAAAAAATAATTCCTTTCACAAATGAATCAACTTACCGCTGCAAAGTCTGTAATACCAACAGTTCCAATATCTCCCTTGACGGCTACCCATTCGTGTTTCTTGGTGTATCTGCGTTCTGAAAGAGTATAGTACAGTAACCAAGGGGAAATGGCAACCATGAACCTGGAGTTCAAAGAATTTTCTATCTCCCAAATTCTGGAACAAGGAAAGGTCACCAAATTGCGTGGCCGCTGAGATGTGATACCTACCCAGAAGGTTGAAGTTGGAGGGTTTCAAATGTGTTTTCAGTAGCTGCGAAGCGTTAATTTGATGTGTTAGAACCTTCTGAATTTGGTGGCATGAACCTCGGAGCGTATTTACTTTAGAGACCTGTTACTAGCTTCAATTAACGCTTCGTAGCTAACAAACAGACATTCAGGACCATTCCCCAATTTGACGAGGGAGGGTCATGCAGTTAAAGTGAACGTTTTAATCTCTCGCAATGGTACACAGTTTGTGGTTGACCACCACAAACTGTGTACCATTTGTGAGAGATTAAAAACGCTGATTTCAAATCTGCTTTTTCGTTTCCCGAAAGCGTTGTTGTTAAAGAAGTTATGAGCAAAAAAATAATCAATTTCCGGGATAAAATCAGTTGTTACATCCTTTCTAGCGTTAAATGGAGCAAAGGTAAGTGTTAGGAAACTCCGTACAACAAACTCCTTTTGCTCATAGTAGTACTTTGCATTGCTCCAGGTGAAGTTCTAGGCTAGCTGTAACAACTAATTTCATCTCGATTGGTTCATTTTTTGCCTCAAAAAATGCGCCTCCTTTTTCAAAGACGTTCCGCAGATAGGAAAGCAAATCTGGAAGCAGCGTTTTGAGATCTCCCGTTTTGAGATCCCCTTGTGCACAGGAGAGACAGCAGATGGTAAGAGAAACGAAAAAGCGCTCGATCACGGAGACGCCGATATGTCCGCAGTCTTCGCGTGCTATGAATCGCCTATACTTTTGCAACGACAAAAAAAAAAGGATGGAACACGAGCTTTTCGCGCATTCCATGATATTAATCAAGTTTGACGCCTCAGCACGCCTGTTTACGACAACATGAAAAGTCAAACAGTTGATGTGTCATTAGTTCGAGTTCAACTTATCAAGTCCAGAAGGTGCATTCTCCCAACTTGAATCCTTCACCCTGATTGTCCCACTTTATATGAACGTAACGAGTGACTAGATTGTCTACTATAGATCTGTAGATGCAAAGAGAGGGGAAGAGAAACCGCTGGTTAGCCACAGCTCATCTGCCGTTGTTGGCCGTAGCCCAGTTAAGGTGAGAACTGTCGGACCATCTCTAAGTCTGCGTCCTGACAAACACGCATATGCTTACGGCGGAAAAGTATGAAATGAGGGGAGAATCATTTGAAAACGACTCGACACATCCATAGTAAAGAATCCTGAACAGAAGTCAAAATACCGCAAAAAATCAACCATGCCCCTTACCTGACAATAATCTAGCCGAGATTGACAAAGTCCTGGTTTGAAGAGCAAGTCGTTCGACACATGCTGCTAGCCGTATGGTGCTGCATGCGCTCCGCATAAGCATAGCCATTCTGCTAAAAAAGCATCATCAAACTTCCAGATATTGCTCGAGATCAGATTAGGAACTGGATCTTTCAAAGTAGGTATTTACCGTAATAGTCATAACAGTGGCGTATTTGACCTATATAAATGCAAGAAGTGCTATGTTAGAGGTTGGAAGACAATATTTAGGCAAACTAGTGCAAAATGACTTCTCCTGTGTATACCGATTGTGATGCCCAAACCGCTATGGCTCAAGTAAGGCTCACATAAGTCATCTACGATCTAAGAATCCGTTTTTGTATTCTTGCCCGGATCACACTACTTCCGAGCGACCAATCGCTCCCTCAGGTACGGTGCGCGGATTGGTCGCTCTTGAAGAATACGGTTTGGTTGGGAGTTTGTAGTTTCTCAAGCATGACAATTTCATGAGTTGCCGCTTGAGTAATAGCTTGATTAGGGCTTCTTCCCAACCAGTTCCATGGAAATCGAAATACGAAACTTGTCTAAACATTGTCTCAAAGTGTCTTTGCCGAGACGCTAACCTACAGTGAGTAATAAAATCACATGGACCGAAGCAGAAAATTTGACAGAATACTCATCAAGACCTAAGAAGAAGCAGTAACTTTGGAACAGCAATCATAGATGCCACAGAGGGAATGTATGAAACGTTGAGCTTATGATTTGAACATTCAAAAATTTGAAGAAAAAATGCGTGAAAGTGATTTGTAGAAACACGCAAACTCCACAAGAAGGTTCTGAAAAGCAAGACCTCTGTAGTTACATGGGATCCATACTTTCTATATACAGGCGCTCAGAAGTTTTAAATCAAAGTACAAAAAAAGATAAATCGGCCCAAAAATCGAAGCGAGTACTATGTAAAGTGGCATGTGACACCGATGCCCTTGTGGTTATCACTGATAACGCACTCGATAGCTACGAGACAAATGGGAGAGATGTCTTAGAAAGTGCTACCTGATAAGACGATAGAGATGCAGAATAAAAATTTGAAAAAAAACGATTCAAACTGAAGTGAGACAAGCGCTAGCAGCTTGCAAATAAACTCGAACGAAATCATAAAAGGCAAAGAAACATGCGAATTTGAAAATGCAGTTTGAAAAAGCGCTGCAAAAGGATTGGAGGCGCACTTTTAGCGATGCAACTTTACTTCCTAATAAAAATATGAAGCGCACCCTAATAGGTATAAATCAGAACACTTAGAACATGATAAACATAGAAACTAACCTGCAGATGGGTGATCCATCTCCCAAGAAGACGATAAACAAATTTCAAATATCAACCGTAAAATCGCGTAGGCCTGCCACGTGATATTACGTACTCTGAAAAAAACTTTTAATTCGAATTGTCCTTTGGCTTTAACTCTCTCTCTTTTTTAACAGAAAAACTGTTTAATGTACTGATTGCGTCCAGGGTAACCAAAGATCAAAATGTCTAAACGTCGTTTCAATCCGTCTGATGAGGACAAGATTCCAATTGTTGAGAAGCTATACAGGTAAGAACAAGAATGCAAAACATTTTATCACTGAATTAAAATTTTCGCTTTAACCTGTTACTCTGTAGGCAAAACCAACCATCTTTCCAAGCAGCTGGTGGTTTTATGGACGATGATGACGAATATCAACAGCGAAGAGAAGAAATTTCGGAAGCAAAACAAAGAAGTTAGCCTTTTTCTCTTTGGCAATGTGCCCTCAGAAAGTGTTCAGTAGCTTTATGCTTTACGATGAATGTCTATTTAGGGGCTGACGCAAAGTTTGCCAGTCAAGAAATTCCCGATAACTGCATCAAGTGTGATAAACCAATGTTTGATTCGTGGCTATGGGAACGCTATAACCATCCAGTTTGCGATGGATGCAGGTAATAACAATCAGTGAATCCTCTTTGCTCTCTATCTTATATGTCTTTCGAACGTAGATAATCTTTATTTGTCACGTGGTAATCTTCACTTTTTATTTTTTATTTTTTGAGTCTTTTCTTTATATTGTCGTGGATCTCTTTGATTATGTGTACAACTGCACAATTTCCACGACGTTTCCGATGGAACGCAGTCCCAGCTATATTTCATCTACGGCAGGGATTGTGCGTGTTTGCGGCGGTCGCGACGTTCGGCCTAAACGTAGAGAGCGCGACTCGTGAAATAGCGGTTTGTAACAGGACAAGCATTTTAGCGTGCGTCGCTTGTTCCAGTCGTGCCTAAACAACAAGAAAAACAGAAAAGTATGTGTGGCATGGCACGATCTTGGAAGATGTGTGATTGCACGCTTTAGCCAGAAAACCTGCTTTGTTGTATAAACTCCACTTTCTAATCGTTGAAAGTAATTCTGAAACTGCTTTTGCAGGGATGACCTTGGCGAACACAAGCTTATTCCACGAACTGAAGCCAAGGCAAACTATCTCCTCAAGGATTGTGACCTCGATATACGTGAACCTCCGCTACGGTTTTGGGCAAAGAAGAATCCACACAATCCTCGTTATGGCGATATGAAATTATATCTGAAATGTCAGGTAAGGCGGTTTGTGCATTTTTCAGTTTTCCTCGTATTTTCTACAAATTCAGGTAATTGATCGAATGTTAGAAATTTATGGCAGCTGGGAAGAATTTGAGGCTGAGAAAAAGTTGAGATCAACGCAAAAAGAAGTTAGGGCTGAGAAGAACTTCGAGAAAAAAGTGAAAGAAATGAGACAACATGTAAGTTTCTAGCTCAGCTTGCTTTCTTTCTTCTTCTCAAAGGGCGTTGAAAGAGCAGACATTTTTGGCTACTTTGATTGAGCCCTCGAAAAAAAGCGCTAAAGATAATTTCGCGAAAATTCGATTTTCTTCATACCGGTAAATGCTCAGTTTAGATACGAGGCCTCTCTGGTGTAAAAATCCGTCAAGAAAAAGCCCATGAGCATGTTTATGGCGAGGAAAAGTACGATGAAGCTAAGGATGAATACTCGAAGGAATGTCTAGAGTGCGACTATGTGCTAACTTACGAAAAAATGTGACGGTTCAAGGTTTTACGGGGTTTGGAAAGGTATTACCAGCTTTGAATTTCCTTTATGAGTATGCTCGAATCTCATCTCAAAATTTACGGAACCAGAATGTCCTAATGTTGATTTGTTATTTTTGGTCTCACTTGATCTTTTCTTTTTAGCTTCTCATTGATAATCTTCTGCAGTAATTATTTGAATTTTTATGGTCTTTTAGACTATCTTCGTTACCTCGTAGGGCATTACCCCTCTACTAACAAATTCTTATCTCGCTTGTTAATTACTTTTCTTAGCATATGTTTTGGAAGACCTTTGACTCAGCTCAACCCGGTAACTTATTTCTAGTGAGCGTTTCAGTCATTTTGCATTTCACTTTGAGTTTGGTGATCTGTTTGTATGTCAGATCACTATTATTTTCAGCGCCTTGGATAAGATTGATAGAGTGCATCTTTCGACCTTGTGTAACTGTAATAGCTTGCTAAAAACCTATTTTAGGAATTTTTTGAATGAAAATAGTTCGTTCATTTCTAGTGATGCACCTCATAGACAACTTATTTAGATTTTCCGGCTTGCAAAACGCGCATTCAACTTCAATCGGTTATCGGCGGTTCCTACGTGATTCTCTTCCCCTTCAGGGCGCATTCAAAGAACGCCCATTAGCTTCTTGAGCAATTGCCTCCGGCATTGAACCATATTCGGCGTATCTCTACGACTGCGCCAACATCATATTTTTTAGAATTTGAAAGTTTGGAAGTATTTTTCGAGAAGATCGTGCAAGCAGACATGTTTTTCCCTTTTAAATTATATGGCTTAAGTAGATTTTACATTAGATATTCCACTCCAGTTGAAGGTGGTGCAAGCGGTTTACCAAATGAAGGCAATTGTGCCTATAATGCATATAAAAATGGAGTTATGGTTCATTTTCAAATCGTGACGACGGTTGACCTGCGGTCTTTTCGCACACAGAAGGATAAAACACCCATACAAACATGCAATGCCTCAACACTAAGCTCAGTCACTTTCAGTGCCTGAATACTATCATACGTAAGCAGAAGAACATTTGAATAGAGGTAGAAACCAAGAATTGGGACCGTGTGCGTGTTGTGCGCGGTCGCGCCATCGTCACGATTTCTCAAATGCCCTATAAGCTTATCTGCGCGATCGCTGATTCGATGGAAAAGCTCCACCGTGTTTGTAACTCAAACGGTGGGAATCTGAGGCGGTTTCATTGAAGTAAAGTATTCGAACAGGATCCATGGAATTTAGAAGTCAGATCGCTACATTTTAAAATTTGGAAGATCTCGTCACTGTCTCAATAATAGTGTTGCCATACTCGCCAGTCTTAATCGCCTTTAGGCGTGCGAAAATCCCCAGAAAATAGGTGCAGACGCGACGCAAGTTCAAGAGAGGCGCCTGGTGGATCTGAACCGCACGAGCAGGCGACACTGTCATTGAGACAGCTTATAGCTCCCTTCGGTTTTCAAGTCAGGTCTTGATTGCTGTATAGTAATGGCATTACGTCTGCGCAAGTGCAGTATCTCGATTATATAGTCATTTATTAGAAATCAGTTCATAAATATCGATGGTATCCTAATATCGTGCACAAGCCCAATGCCGTGGTAGAAGTGCATCTACAATTGGATTGGTGTATGGCGCACATCTGGTACGTGCATACCACTCTTGCCCGTAGAACGCAATAAACATTCCAGTGCCTAAAATATGTTGTGAAGGGAGCTGGAGACTTCAATAGCTTGTATAATTCGTATGTGTCGGCTAGCATGGCGCATGATTTTTGACATATTAATGAGCTTTTATGAACAACGCGCGCGCGTCAACGGTAGCGAAAGGGCACGCGTAGTATGTGCGCACAGTAGTAGGAACACCGCCAGGAAATGGACTAGAGCTTGGTGATGGTTGTGTTGGGATTATGAACTGATCATGATCAGGGTCGGTAGTAAACCTATCGAAACTCAGAGTTATAACTCAGAGTTAACTCTGAGTTATCTCTGAGCTAACGCGCAACTTTTTGACCCCTTTAACAGTGTTTGAACAGATCAGATCCGGAAAGCGATGATATGGCAGGATTCTCCTGGACACGTAGTTTATTCCTAATAGCGCAACATTGTCCAAATCGTCCTGCACAAGAAACAGCGCCACCAGACGCGCAGCTAGTGTCTGCGATAACTCTGAGTTTGATGCACGTTCCAGTCTATCGTGGAACTCAGAGATAACTCTGAGTTTGGTCAGAGAAAGAGAAATAGCGCGCAAAAGAAGAGGGGCAGCTAAAAAGTCCTCTGGGTACATTTTGCTCGTAGTTTAAGCAGGCATGATAGGGGTATCGTGGTGCGCAGTGATTTACAAAATTTTGAAATTTTGTAAAAACTTGGCCCAGGGGGTTATTCGGTGGGCTGGTCACGCATATGGTATCCATTTTTCACTATGGGGCCATGTAGAGGTGTTACGGTAGGTTTACGGTAGATGGGAGAAAATCACGAAACTGAACGAAACTTGGTACACTGGGGTTATTCGGGGCGCCGATAATGAATATGACATGCGGATTATACTGCAGTGTCATCTGACGAGGTTACGGTACGTTTGCGGTAGATGAATCAAAGCGGCGGAATTAGACGAAATTTGGTACACTGGAGTTATTCTGGATGCAGATTACGGACAATCTATCCGCTACATACACTGGTGACATATGGAACGGTTACGGTAGGTATACGGTAAGTAAGATGAAATCATGGAAGGGCAAACTTTGCCCGGAGGATTTATTCTGTGCGCAAATCCTAATAGTCAGTTCTTATCATTGCGTATGCCATCCGCTTTCTCTATTGTTTGAAGCTTTCAGCTGCGCAAAAGACCAATCCTCGTGATAAACCATCACTGCCCGATAGAAATGATGAGTGAGGCTTTGGCAAAGCAATTTTAAGGTTCATGGGTGTGTCATGAACCTTAAAATTGTCTAGCGGTTTAGTGATAGGATCTTTACGCTATACCGTACAGGTTCGAGCCCCTACTTTAACGTCGCTTTTGCAGCAAAGTGCTTAACAGCTCCTCAAAGCAAAACTCCGAGCTTGAGATTGGAGTTCGGAACTACGAAAGCGGAACTCAGAGTGTCAATAAGCGTAACTCAGAGTTTCAAAAACGGAACTCAGAGTTATCTCTGAGTTAACGCGGAGCTTCAAACTCGGAGTTTCGACCAGATTACTACCGACCCAGATGTTTTAGCTTATAACTTGCTGAACTTACCTATCAGTAAATTGAACCACAAAGCAGTGTTCCACACAGATTTATTTTTGATCAGCTTTGAGACAGAGAAGAATATACCTAAAGTAAATATAAAAAGTCCTGTTTTATGGATCATGCAATCACTCGCCTCCAAAAACAAAATACAACATGAACATCACTGGATAGAATACCCGAAAAGCAATACCAAACCAGTATTCATGAAAAAGGGCAGATAAGAAAAACACGCACGACTGGGCGATTTGGAGTCCTCGTCGGCCACCAATCAACTAAAAATGCGGATTGACTCAATTATGATTGTAGGGATGAGTTACATAGCCGATTATCCCACGCAGGGAAAGGGTGTCATTGCAACTTCGTCGGTGTCTCTCAAACCAAACCCGCTTTCGTTTCTCTAACCGTCTGCTCTCTCTTTCAAACACGAACTAACTTGTTCGCGCGCAATAGCGTTCGGTCTCTGCGTGCTATGAGTTTGTTACCTTTGATACATCTCTGTACACATAAGCGTAGAGCCAATCATGTACTACTAGATTCCAGTTACGATAATATTCAGCCATGTTGTCAGCGTTCCACCAGTTCTATAGAGATAACAGAAGCGTCGATCGATGTCTATTTTTTATATGTGTTTCTCAAACGTACCAAATAGAATTGCCTATCACCAAATCGCATAATTTCTGCGAATCCGTTTAGCCATGAATGAAGAAGTCCGTAAAACAAACAAATCAAGCATAGCATGCCTGGCACAATGCCAGCGAATAATGACATTAGAATTTTAGAAGCCGGCTCGTTGGGATACTGTAAAAATAAATTTCTGTAATATCACTTACAGTCGAGTAGATTTAGCGGTAAATATAGTGTGCTTGCACAAAAGGTGAAATGCGGTGAAATTGGCGCGTGAAGAAATAGTTTCGACTGTGACGCCGGCCAATTGCGCGCGCAAGATACCCGCGGTACTGACGTGGCTACTTGTTCACGCGCAAATTTCACCGCATTTCACCTTCTGTGCAAGCACACTATATTTACCGCTAAATCTACTCGACTGTATATAAGCCTGTTGAATATTTGACAATCGATATTACCTAACTTTATGATTGGCTCCGCCCCCCACTCCCTTTTTCTGCGTTTTATACAGGGTATCTTGCAGTCTTATATCATGAACGTATTTAATGCAAATGCTCAAATGCAACGGGTTTAATATCATATGGTAAGCAAAAACGCAGTTGTTTTTCTCATATTCTGAGAGTAGAAGACTTGAGTACGCTTTGCAAACATTGCTCAAACAAGCTTGAACGTTTTTGGTGGATCCAAGTAATCAATAATCTGAATGGGATAACGAGTATAAACTTGTTTGATATATAATCAGAGTTGTTTAGACAACGCGTGCAAAGCGCGAAGTCTACTTTTACTAGTCTCAGAATAGTTGACATGTACTCTGTTGGTTTACTGTAGGGAGAGTCCACCAATCATAGCGCGTGTGAGGGCGCGTTGCGCTGCCAATCGATATATCGATTTTGGAGAAAACTTACGTCGATGGAGTCCATCCATGGGAATGCATATTGTGTAAAGGCTAGATTTACAAATTCTATGAGAATAAAACAATGCATGAAGTGAATTGCGGCTTTCTTCATGCATCGAGTTTGGGTTCTGAAAGTAAAAATACACGAAGTGAAAATTATATAAATTGAATGAATCTGGTGCGGTAAGAAGATGGATGCGAAAGGAAGTGGAAGAAGTGGGAATTGGGCTCAAACGGAAAGTTGTCATCTTCCAAAAGTCATCACAAACAGAGACTGGACGCTATTGCGTCCAGCAGAGACATTTTGTGCATGGAAGAGGCACAAGACGGTGAGAGAGATGAAGGAGCGCCTCTTACGGAGACGTGCACTACAGCGTGTCCGTAGTGACGCCCCTCCTCTGCGTGCAGTGACCCGTCAATACCAACCTCGGATATTCGTCCCTATAGAGAAATGTTGGACAGAACATGAAGTATACGAACTGCTCTATACTAGGCCAGTCTGATGTGGTTCCAGGCTGCAAATACAAGGCTTGTTATGATAATGGATCTCATCTGGAAATAACTTGTATTCCTTTGTTACCTGCACAATTTCACCACTCATCTTTTTTGTGATCCCTCTTGGTACATTTTCCCTGACGAATGAATGCAATTTCATTGCTATACGGGTCTAAAATATCGCAAATATCACAAGCCATTCGCTCTAAGGCTGCATTCAGAGTTGTCCGTGCCAGTGGCCCGCACCATCGATCAATCAAGCCGGGCCTCTCCATGTAAGCGCCGACACGGCATTGGCGCGGCTCTGGCGCGCGGACAACTCTAGACGCACATAAAACTGTTTTCAGTTCCCATATGACTTACCGTTTCACAAGTGATTATGAATGAGCAGGCACAATTCAACTTCCAGGTGAACAAAAACTTCAATGGGAAATAGAAAAATGCACCAAGATAGAACAGATAGGCCGCAAGCATTGGGAACTGAAAATTATTAGGTTGGTGCAAAAGTAATGCGCGTTTTGCGAGTTCTCACTTTGACGTGCTATAATTTTCTAAAAAATCCAGATTTTCAGTGAGGCAAAGTTCATCAGGCACCAAACCTCTCTCTATACAGCGCACATTAACTTATGTTAACATCGCAAATCGGTGGAAAAATATGGATTGATAAGTAAAAAATTTTTTTTCGGAAACCTCGTTTTTAACTGATCATAACTTCCTTCAAGATTTGTTGGTATAAATGATAAGTGACTGTCTTGTAGCCGCAAGCCAGTAGTATGAAAAAAGTACAAAAGAGCTTAAATAAAGAATATTTGCGAAAAGGAAAAAATAATATTCAAAATTGTCCACTTTTTTCAACATTTTTTCGTAGCCCTCGAAATCCCAAAATATGAAGATTTTTGATTTTCTATGTACTGAATAGCTTCCACATTTCTGCAAAAACTGTCAACAGGAGGTCCACCCTCACGCTTACAGAAATGAGCAAAACTTTGGCGATTGCCCTCTTCAAAGGAAATCTATGGGCCACAGAATGACCAAAACCATCACTCATGTTGAGGCGCCGAGATCTCAGTCTAAGTAATTTCTAGGAAGACAGTAAAGAGTGCATAACGTAGAAAATTTCTATTACAATACAACAGTTAAATTTTCAAAAGGATGCCTTCTCTCGCGTTTGAATTCTGGCCGAAAAGTAAGTGCAATGAATTTCTGGTTTTGAGTGCGGTTGTATGAAGCTCTATAAAGTTTTATTGAATGAGGCTAGAAGCTTCTTTTAATCACCGTTGAATAGAGCATGAAAGAAGCTTCTTGATAATATGCTGGGTAAGTTTCATAGGAGAAACTTCGATGGAGAAAAGCTATCTTGAAACGAGGGCTAGAAAAACGCGCATTGCTTTTGCACCAACCTAATAAAATGGGATTGCCAATAGCAAAGCATAAAATAATGTAAATAGATCAATGTGCGATTTATTAAAAGAAAAAATTGAACTCGTCCGGCCTTTAAAAAAAATTCATCATTGTGAATGCAATGAAAATAGAAAATCGAAAAAATGGTATACTGTTAAGAAAAAAAACAGTTACTCACCTTGCTGCGTTTTATTTACACAACTTTTTTGTGCAAAAAAGTATACATTTTGCAGAGATTTTAATTCTTACTTATTCTTTAAATATTCATCTAAACCTTCGATTTGAGATCGGGGAGCATTATTATATTGATTGTAAAGATAATCAAAAACCCTGATAAAATTTTAGGGTAGAAGTGAAGATGAAAAAATGCGAAAAATGACAGGGTGTAGGAATACAAAAATACAAAAAAAGAAAACGTTTTATGAGACTCGAAGAATTACCTACCTCGCTCTTGAGAGTCAATTCTCCTTTGGCCGGAACATGAGCCCAAATTTTTAGACCAGCATAAGGAATAAAACTTGATAAGAACATCAACGACCAGACAAATAGTGTAGCAGGCAGGTATTGAAAATTCCAACCAATTAGCCAAAAGTGATAGAACGGCCTGTGATTGGTTCACAGCTATGAGGTGATGGGTAGAACAGCTGACTTACATGCCATGGGTAAAAATATCATCAATCAAGGCTCTAAGAAAAAATAAAATAAATACAGCAGCGAAGAGGTTGTATACCACTCCGATTTCGGTTTCGCGGAATAGGGTCCTGAAATTTGGGGGGTCTTTTTTTTTCAATAGAAAATCAGTATTTGAGGGTGACTTACGTGAGCAAAGATTCCCTTATATGGAATTCTTTTGTTTTGAAAGTCATCACACGTGGATCTTTTAGCTTTCTCACATTGTTGTTCGGTTCCACTATATCTGCCTCTGCCCTCTCATGACGATGCCGCAAGTTTGTATCCATGGGCTGCTGGATCTGTGGTTATTGTAAAAAATATGATTTTTCAAAAACTTGATCAAGAATGGATTCTAAAAAAACAGTGTAAATTGAGCGGTGAGAAAATCTTCATGATGGAGAAATTGAAAAAAAGATGAGATAATTGAGGTAGAATTAGCACAGCATAGACAGGCCATGTTATCACGTTGAAAAGATCTTATGAATAATTCCTTATTAGAAAAAATTCTTGAGATGCTTTCCAGTTCTCACTTCATTGTCTCTAAATCATTACTTCGCTTTATTATGCAAGACTTGATTTCAATTCTTAAAAACTTTTCGAGAGCACAGCAGCACCTTTTGTGAAAAGCTCACTAATCTAAGCATCGAAAAATTTATTTCGCAGAAGCGAACCGTAATTTGATGAATGCAGATAATAATGAGAAAAATTAAAATAGTGAGGGAACGCTTTCTAACGGCATTTTACAGGAATTTTTGAGTCTACAATTTTTGTTCTCTCCATTCAGTACCCTTCCTTCCTCCTCCCCCCTCCCTTTTTTTTTCTTTGATGATCCTCTAGTATCCAGGGCTCGGAGGTGGCTAGTTGAAAATGCGAAAAACGAAGTCCTCCTCGACTTTTGCGAATTTTTACGAAGTCCCTTTGGCCCTAGACCATAATCCCTAAACAATCTCCAAAAAAGTAAACGTTCTCTAAAAAAAAGTCGCAAATTTTGTGTATTTTCGAAAAACAAAACAAAAAAATCCAGCCCAGCTTCCAAAAAACGATATCCAGCTTGCGTGTAAACTACCTATGCGGAGCCCTGTTAGTACCCAAAGTACTCTTGCAAATTTATGTAAAACAAACTCTGGTTCTAAATCAAAACGAATTTTGTTCAAATCGTTCTCATGAAAAGAAAGCAAATTATATTGATAGAAATTAAGCTCAAAAATTCTATTTACACAAATAATGTAAATGGTCGGTAGCTATTCGATTTACACAAGCCACATGAGAAATATCATTTTGAATTTTTTTACGAATTACTTTCGACAAATGCCCAAAATATGTTACAAAGAGCTCAAACTTCTGGAATGTCTTAGGCTAGCACTAATGCCTCAAAAAATCTACTAAAAAAATTCTGAAATCTTGTAAATTAAGAGTGGGAAATTTTTTCGCTTTCAAATAGTTGGTTGCGTGTAGTTACAATAAAATTCTACTGCAATTAATGTTCGTGAAGGCAGATATGATGATAGACTATTGCCCCCTCCTTAACCAAATGAAGAAAAAAAGCCCCTAGAGCCTTTAAGAAGGGAGCAAAAATTGTAGAAGACTTATGTTGTTAACTAACAAAACGCAAATAAAAATGGGCAAATGTCAAAAAAGATAGAGAACTGTTGCAGACAAGGTATCATTTGAAAAAGAAAAAAGTGACCTTGGTCTTCCAGACAATGAACAAGCTTGGAACTGGCTTATCGAGCTTTCTTTTCATGAACGTAGGATTCTCTAGCTTGAAAAAAATGAACATTGGAACGCGCAGAAAAAAATTGAACCCTACATTAGCTCTCAAGGTAGTTCATGATGGAGATTCAAGGACTTATGCAGCAATTTTCGAGCAATTTACGAGGGCTAACTTCCAAATCGATTCTGAGGTGGAGGAAAAAAAAGATAGTATAGACTAGTTAGACTGCAATTTTGGGATAGTACAGCTCGAACTGGTAAATTGCAGCTACTAGGTTGGCTTATAAGTTTTGTAACAAAATTTTTTGAAATGAAGTAAGTTTATAGATTTCTAGATGTTTGATCAATTCAATGTAGAATAGAAGATATGCAAAAATATGCAAAAAATAGCTGATATACACAGTAGGATAGAAAGCTTCCTCTATGTTGCAAAAATCTATATTATAAAATTTAATTATTGCTTTGAACATTTTACAAGCGAATTTTTGATTTGGTGCAAGACTTAGGAACCAATCTGAGAATGGGAAAATAGCTGCAAATGGCGAATCAATGGTGAGTAATGACTAGATTGAAGATTGTTGATATTGGAAAAAAGCTAAAGAAGAAGAGAATTCTTAAAGTGAGCTCGTACAGAGTAAGGATCAACGTCGACCATCCTATACCACCCCGAATCCGCGATAATTTGGGTCAACACCACGCATTGGTTGAACCGCAATCGTGCTGCGATCCCAGTCGTGAAAGCGAATCTGCAACGATTGGCCGATATATAAAGAACGGAAAAGTCTTGGATCAACGAGCAAATGTTCCCAAAATCAGCTGAGTGCTTGACAACTTAGTTAGGGTATGCCCATGAAGAAAAATGAGGATGAAAAAAGAAAACAGCGCTCTTTACCCAATTAAAGTACCGTCCACCCAAGTTGAGGGTTGAGATTTTGGCAGCATATGATATTAGGGCCCCCTATCAAGCCAATGCCCAAGTCGCAGCGCAAAATGTCGCTTCGGAAGCGAGAAAATTGCTCCGGAAAACGAAGATGCACAAGGATCCCCAGACGGCACCGCCCTCCTCATCCATGCCCGCCCATCCCTGCGCGCCCATCCAATCACCGTTTCGGAAAGCCGGCCTGCGGGTCCTCCGGAATAGGGATTGTCGGGTTTTCGCGGATTCTCGACCTCATATTTGGAATCAGGGACATGAAAAGGCCTCGGAACGATCAAGACATGGATGTCGAGAATCTGGGTGGACGGTACCTTGATCCCAAAGAACCTGTTCGAAACGCTTCTTCTCCAATGCCGCTGTAACAAAATCATCTTGAATGCATAGCAGTAACATTACCTATCCTGCTTAGGCGAAATGCTGGTAAGAGAAAAGGGAAAAGGTAGAAGAAAAATCGCACATGGAGCTCTTGAAAACTTTTTTTTCTCTTCCTTTTTGGAAATTAAAGTCATATCCACTACAGTTGAAATAAGGGTTTTTTTTTCAGAAGTTACTCCTTTATAGTGTTTTGGTGTTTCAAAAACCGCCTAGCGTATTCTGGATTCAAATCACTATAGATATACCGTAGAAGGCTGAGCATTCTGGGAATTCCTTAGATTTTCATGGTCTAGATAAACCCGCGTCATGCCTATTCAAAATATTCAATTAGAAACCTGTGCATAATAAGAAATGATGATGGCAACTTTTGCGCGATTGCCAATTCCACGCTTTTACATGCCAACAACTTGCTCGTGACTTGCGCATGTAACTAGTCAAACGCGCAAATGTTGTCAATAACGCAAGAACACTGTATTTGCCATCATCATCGTTATGTGCTCACCTTCCTAACATGATCAAATCAGGACGAGCATGGATGCTCATAAGTATGTCAGAGTATTTAGCAGAAAAGTATCTACATTATTCTCTAGTAATGAAAACAACGTTCTGAGACAGAAAAAAATTTGGTGAACATGGTAGACCCCTGTTGAATTCTTACTATCATCATAACTTATAATAACGGGCTAAGGGTTGTTTACGTTTGTCTGTCTGTCTGTCTGAATCTCTGTCTGTCACGAAATTCGTGGAGCGAGTTTCAACGAAGGTTTTAAGCTGATTTTTTGCACAGCGCCTGCTACCAGCATGAGAGTCTACTATACAAAAGCACGAGCCGATTCGATAAGCGGGACCAGTGGAAAATGTGGGCCAAATGGATCCATGCGGGTTTTCGCCTACAAAATTGGATCTAAACCAAGACTCTTTGCAAAATTATGCAGTCCTTTGGTATGTATTCCTCAAGCCATTGACTTTAGCTTGAAAAAATAATCAAAAATCACATTGTTTCGAGACAACGGCGCCAAAAATGATGATTCCATAGATGGTCGTTTTCTGAAGGTTCTACGAAAGAATTCAAAAAGATTTTTGCTCGGAGATTTAGCCCTCGGTAGTCGTTGCCATTAGAGCAAATATCAAGACATTATAAATCTGGTGACCAATTCAAATTCACATTCATTTCTCGGCACAGAGGTTTTCCCCTCTCAAAATCACCGATCTTACATGGAAAAGCTTTAGGAATGAGTAATTGTTTACCATTCATTCGTGATGGACAGCGTTGCGAGGTGAGTTTCACAGTCATCATTAGGTAAGCAAGAGCAAAGCAAGCAGATGGTGGAATCAGTGGGAGCCTCTGCGAAGCAGAGGTGACGCGCTGGTGCATTATACCTTTCGAAGAGATCACTGATCAACAAGTATAGAGACTTTTACTGGAGCTTCTCGTAGCACACAAATAGCCGACTTGATTACAGTGCATTTCAATGAGGAGCTCACAAGTACGTAGCTCTTAGGCCTAAGGCATACCTCACGCGATTTGACCAAATCGCGACGTCCACGCGACTTGGCGTTCTGCCAGATTTTCACAAATTAGTCGTAAGTGCTTTTCATATGCATAAGCGCGTAGCTCTTGTAAGTTCTTGCAAACGGATCAGGTCCTGTTGAAAGGAAGGGCGGTAATGACCATTTACGAACAGTATTTCCGTGCCGAATCGCTCAGCGACTGAAAACGCGTAAGTATGCCCGGCCCTTTAGGCCTTACGCGTAAGCATCGCAAGGCTGATGCGCTCCGTTCGCGTGCGTACGGCTTGGGCCCTTGCCAACCCTCGATCGATGACGTCTGTGGGAGTTGTCAAAATGCCCTGCCGTCCGCTCGCGCACGTGGCGCACGGAATTTGCGGCGCGTGCATGCAAATCGAGGACTGCACAAAAAGGAATAGGTGTTTGACATCGTCTGTATAACTTCCATGGAATTTGTATCATTCATTCTCTGACTAAGAGACCGAACATGCTTTGCGTAGTCTGATTAACAAGTCTGAGTGCGTTTTAACATGTTTTGATAGATTACTGATGGGAACTCGTGAAAAAAAAAACATGTTGAGCTTGTTCCACTAGGCAAGTTCGACATGTTCTTTCATGAATCCCTAATGGTAATATACCAAAACGCGTAGGAACGCACTCACAAGTTTTTAATCAGACGTACGCAAAGCGTGCTTGTGTCTCTTACAGGGGACGGATCCCTAGTCGCAGTGGCCTTTCCGGAAAAGACGCATACCTTCTCGAAGGACATCAAACGCTGATTACGAATCTGTCTTCCTTATCTGCTTAGCGCCTCTGGATAAGGAGTTATGGAAGCTTTTGTAGGCGAATTTTTTGACTGCTTAATTAGAAAAAAAATCATTTTTGAAAGCTTTGTGAAAGCAAATGGAACAGAAACAAATGGACTGGAACCTTTCCATGAAAAAAAATTTTTCTGCTTGCTACTCATATGCTCGCCATGATTTCATCTGCAAGTCGGTAAGTCTATCACCACTGATTTCTCTGATCAAGCGTATTTTATGACTCATAGAGCGCTCGTGGCTCCTCATCCGGAAGGACTTCGCAGATAAGGAAAACAGATTTGAACTCAGTTCAATGCCCTATGAGATTGTATGCATCATTTGGAAAGGCCACTTCGACTAAAAGTCCTTCCCTGGTGAGAATGGACATCTATTTAGATATGTATAGTTGATTTGTTGACCGCACGAACTCGATATCACTGCGGAGCACGCGCTGCAAGGCAAAATTCTTGCCCCAGTGCAAATCCGCCACTGTACAGTCGAGTAGATTTAGCGGTAAATACAGTGTGCTTGCACAGAAGTGAAATGCGGTTAATGGAGCGTGAAAAAATAGTTTCGACTGTGACGCCGGCCAATTGCGCGCGCAAGATACCCGCGGTACTGACGTGGCTACTTGTTCACGCGCAAATTTCACCGCATTTCACCTTCTGTGCAAGCACACTATATTTACCGCTAAATCTACTCGACTGTACAAGTCATGCTCTCGCGAAAATTCAGCCGCGCCGCACGTGGACCGCTGCGTTTGAGCAGTCCATGCGGTCAACGAATGGACTATAATCGACGTCACTCTGTAATTA